ACGCGCACACTGAAAATCGTAATGATGTCAAATATTTCAGTTATCGATCATAATATTTCTTATTTTTTCAATAGCGTTTTCACATTGTATTAAAATAATACTAGTTTTTGGTAATTTGATCAAAGCAGTTGCTAAAGCTTGTTCATAATTCATTGATACAGTTATATAATTATTTTTCATTTATATAAGTTTTTAAAAAAGCCCAAGTTAATCTAACTATTCATTATCACACAAAATAGAGTAAATTTCATAGTATTAAATTATTTTTGTTGTATTTTCACAAAAAAAAAGATTAATCCTAGTCTAGTCAATTTTTTAAAATTCTATCATATTAGTAGTTTTAATAGGATAACTTTTATAAAATTTAGCAATAAAATGATTTCATTTTAGGGTTTTTATCGATATCTATGTTTATTCATTACATATTAGGGGTGTAAATGTCAGACTAACCTCTGCGAGAGGGGCAAAAGTATTCTCTTTAGTGACAACCACGTCCATACCGTGTTTTTTCTGAACGATCTTTTAGTTACTTTCTTTTAATTTTACTATTTGATTTCAAGTTTAAATATGATTAAATTGAATATAAAATTAGTACTTTTCAACAGTTTGGTAAAGACAAAATTATTCTTTTTGATATTTTTCTAAATTAGTCCTAAATTTTTCAATTGAAACTTCAGTAAATAAATAGACGAATAACAATTAAACTACCATATTTGTACACAAAGATGAGAAAACTTGTCGTAAAATCATTGTTAATTAGAAAGAAAAGAAAAGTTTTGAAAAATGTGCGTTGCGGATAGAACTGATATTGGTTTTCTTTTTAATAAAGTAAAATTGATTAATTCGAGTGATATATTTAAATGATATCAGATATATTACATGATTGTATACTGTGAAGTCTTAGGTTAATAGAGTGCTACATTTAATATATGTAATAACCTTCGCTAGCAATTCCACGTTGTTAACAAGCTACATATACCTGTTAGCGGAAGCCATTACATTGATTAAATGCAGCACTTTTTAACCTAAGAGTTTTCTTCCTTAAAAACATTGATCAATTTTTTTTTAATTCTTCGAAAAACAAATGCGTCCATTATCAATATTAGAAACTCAATATATTCATCCATCTTCATGCTCAAACTATTAATAGTTATTCACTGTGCTTTTCTCTTATTCCGTAATTAAAATCTATTCATTTTGATAATGTCCTCTTGTGATGAGATTCATTTTCTAAATGAAGATTTTTAGATTGAAAAAGTTATATTTTACTTGAAGAAATAAAATATTTCTAGCTTTCACTCATTTGAGGACAAAATACAAACATATTACGTAGTTTGAAAGAATGTCTTCGTTGAAGAATTATCTTTGTAATTTAAATTTTTTTGCACCCGCTCCTGATAGTAATGAAAGAGAAGATGAACAACAACGTCTTAGTAATATTATTGCTACTCAAGTTTATCTTATTGTTCTTCTAATAAGTTTAATTTCAATTGGTATATTTCTATGGATAAGTCCTAATATGACAACAGTTACATTGAAATATTTAACAAAAGAACAATTAAAAAGCCTTCCAATTGGTATACAATGTCCTTGTTCTCGCATATCAATATCATATAGTGAATTTACATCATTAGATCCGAATTATCATCAAATATGTTCAAGTGATTTTATTAGTGATCGATGGATCAATGCAATCTATACTGGTTCAAATGTAACTTATTTTAATATAAGAGATTTTCGAAGTTTTTCTAGTGCTCAATTTCAAGCATTAGCTGCATTTTGTCATTTATCAAAATCTTATGTACAACAGAGTATGGATACATTTAATTAAAGTACATTTAGTAGTTTATCAGTTTTATCTGAATATGATCTTCAAATACAAATTCAATCAATTATTTATCAAACTCAACAAATAGTTTCTCAAACTTTTACAAATCAACTAGATTTAATAATTCGAATGACAACAGGAAATAAAATTGTATCGGGATTACTAACAAATTATATTATATCATATTATAATACATTTCCTGAATTACAGTCTATTATATATCATCGTGACGATGGTACATTTTGTGATTGTCAAAATGATTTTTATTGTACATCGAGTGCAGTATTTGATAATACATTTCGAGCACGAACACGATATATATCTAATAATACAAAAACATTACCTGGAATAGCATCAGGTTGTTTACCTATCATTTCAATACTTGATTCAACACTTGAATGTTTTTATAATCAAACATGTTTAGACGATATTATTTCTTATTTTCCAACCAATGAAAAATTTTCAGCATTAGTCATTCATAGTAATAGTTCTTATAATCGATATACAAAAGTAAAAACAATGTTAGAAAATTTAATGATAGAACAATGGATAACAAATATATCCTATGATAAATATTATGATCAATGTGCACCTATATCATGTACATATTCGAAAGAAGAACGACATAATTTAATATTTGTTATAACTAAACTTATTGGTCTTTTAAGTGGTTTAACACTAGTTCTTGGATTAATTAGTCCCATCGTTGTTCGATTTATAATGAAAAAAATAAATCATGAACAATCTCCATCGATTCCAAGTAAGTTCAATGTAATTTCATAGAGATAATATCTTCTCTAAGTGGTCTGATTTTTTTGATATTGTAATCGATTTAAAACAAAGACTACTTATGAGGAAGATTTTTTGTTTTCAATTGATATCATTTGATCGAATAGAATATATATTGAAAATAAAATACTTTCCTATACAACAATGATAGATTGACAATTCAAAAGAGTTGGATCCATGGAATTTTCTTCTAAGATAGTTCTGAAAGAATTTGAAATTAATATGTTAAATACAACTATAAAATGGCTCGAATACAGCGAAAAGAACATATTTACATGGATGATAGCGAGCTACGAAAATATTAGGAAAACTCTTGCTATGAATCCAAGGATTGCTGTAAACGAATACTTGTAGATGAAAATTTACGGAATATTATTCAATCTTTGTAGTGTATCCGATGCCTGCCATTTTACTAGAAATAAAGAATTATAAGAATAGTATCGCCTTACTTTTTGAAGAATGATTTATAAATCTATGGAAAATGAAAACATTACAAAGAGAATATTTTTTTTTAATAGTTCGTATTCGTTTGAATCAAATTAAATCAAGTATTAAAAAAGCCGTGATTGATTTGAATCTTTTCAAACATTATCCAAGTAATGATCGACAAATACGATATCAACGATATGCAACTCGACTTTATCTTATTTTAATTGTTATTTCAGTTGGATCATTATCTGTATATCATTTAATTCGTAAAAGAATTCAACGTAAAACTATTCTAAATCCATCATTATCGAAATATTTAGAACTTTCTCAAATAAATTCTATTGATCTTTATTGTCCATGTACATCGATATCGACATCCTATTCAACATTGATTAGTATTGAAGTACATTATCATCAATTATGTTCAAGTTATTTAGTATCGTCACGATGGATTGCTTATAGTAATTCGATATCGAGAATATTAGGTGATCTTTATGATTATCGAAATCATGCTGGTAATCAATTTCAAACATTATCAATGTTTTGTGAACAAGCTCAACAAATAATGAACAATTCACTTAGTATTTTTCTTAAAACAAATTTATTTAGTTTACAAGTTATTCGTAAAAATCAACTTAAAAGTCAATTGGATTCAGCTATTGAAGATTGGAAATCATCTAAAATAAATCAATTTATTAGTACAATCGATTTAATTCGTAATACAACACAAGGAAATCAATTAATGAATCGTCTTAATATATTTTTTCAATTTCCGGATGATGTAAGAACAATATTAGAACCTCGAATATATGGAGATTGTAATTGTGCATTTTTTGCAAGTTTATGTTCAACTCCAATGGAAATATTTGCTTACAGTTATATTTTATTAATTGAAAATTTTTATGTTGGATGTTATTTAATTGATGCATTACTTTTATCAACATTAGAATGTTTTTATAATAAAATATGTATGTCTAATATAAATATATTTTTAAATTCATCTTTAATTGAATCATTAACATTTCCAGCACTTGATTCAAAAAAAATTCACCAAATCAAACAATTCGATCAATTCTTGAACAAATGATGATTGAACAATGGTTATGGAATATCAGTTATTCATCTTATTATAATCAATGTGCTCCAAATTTATGTATTATTCAATATACAAATTCTGATGATTTATTTACAGTAATTATTTTTATAATTGGTATTATTGGTGAACTTTCAATTGGATTCAAAGTTTCAATCTTACTTGTACTTCGATTAACTGAAAAATTCATTAATAATTTCACTTTTAAAATTTCAATACGTTCTATAAAACGTTTTCTTATTGGTACTAATGAAGAACAAATAGCTCGACGATTACATTTGGTATTAGTTTCAACGACATTGAGTATTCTTTATATAACTGTTGCTTTTAGTCCTCAATTAACTTCAGTAGAGATTAAGAATCCATCATTATCTATTTATGAAAATCTAGTCGAACAATATTCGTATAGTCTTCAATGTTCTTGTTCACAAATCTCAATAACATATGGATCATTTATTGATATTAAATCTAGCTATCATCCAGCATGTTCAAGAAATTTTATTGGTGATTTATGGATGGCTGCTCTTATCATTCGAAATAATCCATTTTATCAAAATGTTTCTAAAACTTATATTTATTCTTCTGTTGGACAATTAAAAGCACTTTCTACACTTTGTCAATTATCGAAGTCAACAGTTGATCGATCAATTACACAATTTCGAAATAATCATATGATTAATATTCAATTATTATCATCAAATGTTTTATATCAAAGAATTCTAATGATTATGAATGAAATGAAAACTACAATGCCAAAATTATTTATTAATACATTATCATTAATTCGTCAAACAACAAAAGCAAATAAATTTTTAACTACATTTGGTACGACTTGGTTATTAGCTGATTTATATAATTCAACAAATGGAGATATAATTCATACAATACCAGTTGAATATGATCTATGTAATTGTGGATTATCTTCACAATGTTTTACAAAACTTTATGGAGTTATTATATCTTGTTATATACTTGAAGTTTTTACAATCAACATTTGAATGTCTTTATGATCAAGATTTTATTGATAAAACTCACACATTTCGACCATTAAATATATCTATTAATCCAAGTCGTTTTCCAATTAATTCGACTATTGAATCAATTTTAAATGAATTAATGATTGAAAATTTCGCAACTAATTAGTTTATCTTATACACATTATTTTACGCAATGTTCACCTTCATCATGTCTTTTTACTTATATTGATAAATTTAATGTTATTAAAGGAATAACAACATTGATTTCTCTTTATGGTGGTTTAATGATCATTTGTCAATTATTTGCAGTTATAATTATCAAAATATTACGATATCGATCAGTTCATATTACACCGGCTATGAACACATTAGCTAATTAATTCAATTAATCACTTTATTTTATTCTTTATCTTTCTTCTAACATTTATTATTCTATATTTTCTTTTGTCAAAGCGTATTTTCTTATTCTAATTAATTAATTAAAATTCGATGGAGAATCTTCATTAAAAATCCTAAGAGTGAGGGTATAAGTTGTCTTAACATTCACACCCACACCATCCGATGGCTTACCGTCGTCCTGGAATCTTAGTAACAGAAATCATGGAACTATAGCTAGTCTGCTTTTTTTAATAATCTGCATGAATTCGATACTTATGATAAGTTTACATCGGTGAATAAAATCATTTTTTTTAATAGTATTATTTTTAAAAGTTTGTCAGTGCAGTTCCAAAGTAGCTGGCACGTGCAGCACACCTATTTGTAGCTTCATTATACTAATTCTATAAAATATGTAAAAGATAATAATTGTTTTCTAAGAATAGTTGATCATTTGAGAAACCATCTGTTTTATTTATATTTGCATGTCGAACAGAAATTTTCTTTAATTGTTTTTTATTTCTCTTCTTGTTGTTCTTTTGTTGTTGATTTCATTATTTCCTATTTCGTTTTTTCTTAATGTCTTATTCTTTTTATTCTTATTCTTTCAACATCTGATTTAACAGATAAGTTTGTCATGTCTCTGAGAGTAGAAAGGGGAGGAGTGCTAAAAGCTTCGACTTAAGACTTACATTTACAATTTTGTTCGAAGATATATGTGAACTCCGGAACATCTATGATTCTAATGAAGTAGATTTAAAATGATAAATGAGTTATTGAGTTCTTTCGTCAGAAGAGAAATCAGTGATTATCAGTTCAATTGTTGAGTTGAACTGAATCAAAGAGTTGTTAGTCATATTTTAACTAGAAATATTAAAATGTTGCGTCGACTCCATGCATTTATCGAAATTAAGCCATAGTTTCCTTGACAATAAACACGAACTTAATTGAAGCAACAGACTTTCATGATGTAAGTATTATGGATGAATTGAAAAATTGATTTGTTGATTATTAATTTTTAGTCCAACTATTCATTCTCTGATGAACCAAAATGGCAAATCTTATAGGATTCTATGAACTATGTGTTATCCTGAAAAGTGTTTGGGCCCATGGCCTATTTGCAAGAAGATCAAATGTTTTTAGTATTTCTAATTATGAAGACATGTTTTAATACACTTTAATCGTTAAAAACCGAGAAAGTCTCAAAATATTATTTTTTGAGAGTTATTGGATATATGTTTTGCTGAAATTAGTTTGAGTCTATCTCTATGAAAACAAAAGCGTTTTGAGAAAATTTTTTACGTGAATGTTGACAATTCAAATCTCTGGAAACGCTGAAGATTTTATCAAAACTGGAGGTCATCTTGATAGAATGTCATTGAATATCATAGAAGTATTCAGCTAGAATACTGAAAACATTCGATCTACTCAGAAACAGGTCATAGTACTCGAACATTATTTCGGATAAACATAGATCAGTGAGCTCTACAAGATGAGCCCACTCTTGGCTCGAAAACATTCCGACAATTGAGTATGTTCTCTCCTGAGTTTATTCATCATTTTTTGAATGTTCAGTTAAAAAAAATACTTAATAGATAGTTCATCAAAGATTTGAATTTTCAAATTACACAAGTAAGTATAGAATAGATGAAAACGACTATTACCAGAAAAATATTAGCATGAAAGGGTCGCATACACAAGATAACGATCAAAGTTGTCGGCGGAGATAATCAAGGCCTTGCTGATTCATTTGAATTTGAACATGCATTGGTTCTAACGTATGGTGGGCAATGTCGACAGCTCGCAATCCGTGGTCGATAACTTCTTCGTATCGTTCGAGGCGATAAAATACGTTTGCAATATTGCAATTTGTGAAAGCTATTGTTGGGTGATTAGATGGAAAAAATTTTTGCTGAATTTCAGCTGTCTTTATTTTGAAGGAATGAGAGTGCACTCGAATAGTTTTTCATTGATTGATGAATGTCAGCAATACAGTGATAGGTGCTAGCCAGCTTTGGATGACTATGTGGAAGATGATTAAGTTGAATTTCAAGTGCACATTCGGAACTCTTGAGCGCTTTGGAATACTTGCCTTGCTCGTCAAGTATCACGCCAATCTTACTATGCCGAAGAGCAATTTTCAGCTGATTAGGCTCTGGAGTGCGAAGATCAATGTTGAGGGCATCCTGATAGCACTCCAATGCCATGTCGAGATTACCTTTTTTTCAGTTAATAACATCAATAATGTTATAGGTCGATGTAAGAAAAGGATGATCCGCTGGCAGATGGAACAATTTTATGTCCAGAGATAACCCGTAATAAAAAACTGCATTTGCAAGATCACCTTTCTCATCATTAATGTATTCAGGATGATGAAAAAGATAGGCGAGTTCTCCCCAATTCTTGTTGGGTGTCATCTTTAAGAGCGCTTTGTACATTTCTTCGGCCTTGCCTAGTTCACCCATCTCACACACCCATAATTGGCCTAGTCGATGCCACGCTGTTGGTGCTCGAGTATCCTTTCGAATATGCTCCGTTTCATCGATCTGCCTTATGTCGCCAATTTGAAACACAGTATGTATTGAACAGAGAATTTCTTTCTTTGACTCTGAAAAATAACTAATGTTCTCCAACAAAGCAAAACGAACCGATGAGATTGATGGATCGATTTCTATTTGAAATAGAACTTCTTCAAGATCAGGATTGCTTGCAGAACTTTCTACAAAAGCCAACGAGACTTGCCGACAAGAAATTGTTAAAAGAAATAAGATCATTTTTATTTTTGTTAAATGTCTCAAAGTCCGTAGTTGACATACTTTGACTTCAATAGATGATCATTTTTGTTGTTTCATGTGACTCCAAGTGAATTTGTTCAATGTGTCGATGAAGATCTCGAATGAAAAAACGTGTTTTTATGATGATTTCAATGTCTTGTGTCCATAAAGCTCTATTGAGCATCGAATAGATGAATGATTCTTTTGTATATCATCAAATGGGTGAATGAAGATCATAATCTCGTTCAAATTCATCAATCAAATGTAATTCAATAGTGTTTTCAGAATAATGTAGACGACAAAAGTCAACAAATCCTTTCTTTGTGTTGTCATCATGTTCGATATCAAGTAGTATCTCTTTGAGCAATTGAGAGTACATGAATGATTGATCGAGTTCATTTGAATCAATTGCCGACGATTCCGAGATAATACTAATTGGTATTAAATCTTATTCGCATCGTCTTGTATTCCATTTGAGCTGATCAAAAAAAGATGAGATGTTGATGAAAATGCTTTTCACTTTTCTCCACGCTTTGATCCACTGTTCATGCTTGAAATTGTTGTTACAAAATATATAAATGAAATCGAGTTGAGGCATATCGTGAACGGATGACAAGACCATTTTACTAAGATCTCCTGGTACAATCAAGAATACTTTCTGATCTTTGGCATTTCTAAGAAAATCGATACATAGTTCAAATTTACTAAATATTCGAAAAGAGTAGATAGTGCGACGCATTTTAGAAATTAAGTCATTCATCTCAGACATATCTGAGTCGAACCAAATAACAATAGAATTTGAAATAAAATGTACTTGCGATCTTTCCACGGTAGAATTAGTTGTACGGACAGCCATCTTCGATTTCGATAAAGGCAATATAATGAAATTTTAAATTTCTCTTTCTGTGTATGAACACTAATACAGCGCGTTAATGTATCTTTAGAATCAAACGCAGTACAACTTTATGATATAGAAAAGTTGACAAGAGGACCACTACTGGCGGACCGCACGCGTTGCGATAGAAATCCAAAAAGAAAAAAAGAAAATATATTACCAATGTATTGTACGCAATGTGCAATTTTCTTTTCTTTCCTATATGAAATGATGCAATGATTTATATTTCGTTACAACTTTCCTTTTTATTCTTTTTTTTTATTATTACAATATTTGCAGCCTATCACTATAAATGCGATCGTAATTAGATTTAAATGAATTGACAATTGTCAAAGCATTAAAAGCCTGTGTATATCTAGTAATAAATCAATGAATTGGTGTATATTTGCTAAATATACTTCAACTGATCATATTTGACACATATATATCTAAGTTCTTTTTAATAGTTTCAATCAATGCCAAGTAGGGATCGATCAGTGTCCTATACTACGTAATTACTGATTTTCACTGATACAACCTCATCATATAAAATGCATTGGAAGAATATCTATGGCCTATTTAAATTCGGCAAAAGAAGTAAAAAATATTTATATCGTAAAATGTGAATGTTCCTTTATCGTCTGTCTTTTTGCTAATTTTATTTCGAAATTTTGCAGCTACAAATTCGCGAACTATGCCATTCAGGTTATATTTCTTTATGCTTCCCACAATGATATAACTGAGAACGTTTTGTAAATAACAACAACACTTTGTAGACAAGTACAGGGAGGCCCATAAATAACAGTGGGATAAGAAATTTAAATATCTCCACCAATTCTCAACCAAACGAGCTGAAATTTTTATATCCATAAAGACAAGCCTAGAGAGACCCCTTGTTAAGTATTACTATTGACTTCAACACAAAAATTTTACTTTTTCACAGATAAGAAAAGAAACAATATACTCAACAATGGATCTCTCTAACCATATCTTTAGGAATATGAAGCTTGAACATGAATTTATCACTGATAAAAAATCAGCTCGTTTGCTCGAGCCGTAATCGAGATATTCAACTTTTTATCAATACAATGACTTTCGCGCTACTCTTTTTATTGTTTCTGTGTTGAAGTCAATAGTAATACTTAACAAAGGGTTTCTCTAGGTTTGTCTTTATGGATATAAACTTTAAATATGCCTCTATCATTGGTAAAAATTTAAGTTCGTTTGGTCGAGAATTGGCGGAGATATTTAAATTTTTTATTGCGCTGTTATTTATGGGCCCTCCTTGTACTTATTCAATAGATCGGATGACAAAACGACACATATCAGAATTTTATATGCTATGTGATAGATTAATATGTCCATATAATCGAAACTTGAGAACTTATATCAAATATTGAAAATAATAGTACAAATATTTATGAAGTAGAACAAGTGAAAAATCTTCCCATATCCTCAAAATCGTTAACAAATTGGCGACTAATCGCGTATATTGAAACGATAATCGTGCGCTTAAACATGATAAATCGACGATTTTCTTTTTTTGATTGCTTCAGTTTTGTCAGAACTCTAGATTTCGCTTTGATTATAAAGTGAAGTATTTCTTGAATGTCTAGAGTTTTGAATTCATTCTACATTCTCTATTTACTTTCAATGAACAGTGATTAAACCGAATCTGGAGGATGGGTATGAGTGTCGATCTCTTCTCTTTCCACTAGAGATAAGAAAGTTATTGTTATTAATAACACTAAAAATAACTTTCCACACCCTCAAGATTTCATATTTGGGTGTGGGTGTGTTGGTGTAGGTGTGGGTGGGTATCAGTGGAATGCGAGTACTGGTGGGTGTGGGGTGTGAATGTGCATTAAGCAAGCAGAGCCCACACCCACACCCTCGTGATATACATTCTCGAATATCTTGGAAATCAGAAAATGATTATCACTTTCGCTTTATATTTTTCAAATCTATATGATCGTTATTTTTACTTTGTGTAGAAAGCGAATGTCATACAGTTAATACTTACATTATTTTTTTTATCTCTATGATAAAAGAAAAAGTATGTTCTGTTAATAACATTTTACACTTTTGGATGAAAAATCGTTTTTTTTCTTTGTGTGATATTTGTCGAGCATTATTGATGTTAAAACCACGTATTTGCTTATGAAAAACAATTTACATTCGATCTATTGTTATTTACTATTTATGATACCTTTTTGACTTTACGAGCTGTTGAAAAAGTCAGTTCGTTGTACGAAGATAAAAGTTAATTATTCTCGAGAGGTCGATTAAACAAAAACCTGCTCTTTAACAATTGAAGTTATCATAAAGCTTGACTTACTAAGTGTTACACTCATTTCCAATCAAACAATCAATGTGTACTATGTAGTGAGTGCTTTGTTTCAAAAATGTACTAAAACAAAAAGTGATCGTTCGAAGTGTTGCAAGATTTGAATATGATAAAAATAAAGATAGCTGCATTAAGATATGATTTGTAGAACTCTCAATGTTAAAAAATGAACTAGTTACATTTTTTATGTTTTTAGTATAACAGGGATATGGATAGTGTGGTTGTTGAGACAATAGTATTCATACAACCGAAATGATGGTATTGTATATACCAATGAGTTGCGAAATACGAGTTGATTAAAACCTGCAATATGTAGTTTAAAGCACATTACTCAGATATTATTTATAGAATTTGCTTTTTCCCTGATGGACAAAAGTTTAGAGCGCTGTTAAAATTTTTTTTAATTTTCAACTATTAAATAATCATTAAAAACTCATTTATATATCGTTTGATGCCCAATCAAATGGATTATATTTTAGTAAAACATATTTTTGAATATGATTAGTTTTAATTAACTAATAGTAATTTAACTTAATTAATATTACGTAAGAGATATAGAAAAATTTACTTTTAATTTTCAACATTGAAGTATGCCATTAGAAAGAGCATTAAAAACTAATTAAAACGGTATATTACTTTTGCCGAAATAATTCGTTTTAGTACAATTTTATTCGAAGAGAAATGAATTTAGTAAATTTTATTAGTATACTGTACTGCTTTTTTAACATGGCGGAACTAGAACTTCGGTTTTGATGCATTTTCTAGAACAGACTTTACACTTTCAAATAAGACCTAGCTGTCTTCTCCAAAACGTATTGTTAAATTGGTACAGCGTTTGTAGTTTTTATGAGTGATTTTCAGTAACATTTGCTAGCACTTTCTAGTTTTTCTTTTGTTGGGTAAAATGCTTTATCAAACTAAAAACGTTGCATTAGCTTAACAATGCATTTCAAAGAAGACAGGTATGTTGCATTCGAAGGCGCGAAGTCTGCTCTACAAAATACACTAGATCCCAAATTTTGAAGTTGCACTATAAGGTTCAATCGTCTTAAAATAGCAGTACAGTGTACTAGTAAAATTGACTAAACTGTTTACTATTATACGAAAACAAGTCATTTTGTTCAATTTTTAATGCTCTTTCTAATGGCATACTTCAATGTTGAAAATTAAAAGTAAATTTTTCTATATCTCTTACGTAATATTAATTAAGTTAAATTACTATTAGTTAATTAAAACTAGTCATATTCAAAAAATACTATTTGCCTAAATATAGTCCATTCAGTTCTGTATTGAATGATATATAAAACAATTTTTAATAACTATTTAATGGTGAACAGTTCATCAAGCATTAAAAGTGCTCTAAATTTTTGTCTACCACTTTCCAAGAATCATAACACAAAAAATCTAGAAATAGCGTCTCTTTCATATTTTCAGCTGTCGGTTGCAGTTTTCAGACGATTTACTATTTATTCTCGTAAGTTATAAGCTTAACTATCTATATATCGAAATATATTGTATATTTTATTCGAAAAACAAGTAATCAGTTAAAGTAGGTAAGTAGAATAGTCGTTGTCGTCACTACGCTGGAACAACCTCAAATCCAGCCCGAGGAAAATGAACGTTAATACTGCCTGCTTTATCGTTGGAAACTCGAAGTACAATTTCATGATCATCTGCTGCCACAAACGCCCCATCTACCGGTACGCAACCATAATCGTCAGGTGTGACACGTAGCCGTTGTCCAACATTCCACTCACTGTTTGCATCATTTTTTATGTATGTGGGATCGACAGGTTCGGCTTGTTTAGCCACATCGAATGCTTGTTCGGGAGTCATTTCTCGATTTTCACCATGACCCAATGCAGCCACACGTTCGAACCATGAGAGAAGTAGTCCCGGTTGAAATAACTGTGGCAACAGAGACTTAACTTCATTACCTCCTCTAACTCTAGCGAACCATAGTGTATGATAGGCGGTTATATCGAATGCTGATGGTGATGAATGATCCAGTAGAAATAGACGTCCATCAGCCAACATGTCAGTAAGCCACACGAGATGTGCTCTAATGCGCTGTACATTCAATGGTATCTCGGTTTCATTGTCTTCCTTCGTCAGACTAATGACAGGAAGCAATTTTTTTCGATCTTCCAGGAAGGCTTGGCTTAACTTATCACCATGAAGGCCTGCCCATACCTTCACAACAGGTATAAATGTTGCTTTATCCCACCACCAGCAGAGAGGTTGAGTTGTACTGTTAGAAAAGAGAGTAGGTGAATCTGGTCGTAGACGGTCAAGTGCACGCAAAATAAGATGCGTGTCACAGTAGATATCCGCACCAACTTGAAGCACTGGCACACGACGGTAGCCACCTGTGAGCGGTTCGAGGTAAGGCCTGGGAGGTACTATGTCAATGTTTACCGAACGCCAATTCAATTTCTTCAAACCCATAGCCAATCGCACTTTCTCAGCATACGGCGATGTCGCATAATGATGTAAAATTAATTCGTCTGACATAATCACAACGGTCCCTACCTGTTCTTTAAAACGAAGCAAAAAATACTCTGATATAATGTATGTTCGTCATCATATATATACGGGCATAAATAGCAAAAAAAATGTGATTGCAGAATAAAAATGAAAAAAAAAAGAACGTCAAAAGAAAGAATGTTGACGGAGAAAGCATATGCTGATAGCCTTAAAGAGTGAAAGTGGTGGTAAGATTAACATTTTTTTGTGATATACGTGCGCCTTCGTATATGTGGGTTATCTCCTATGACGTACCAGTATATGTCTTTTTCGTTTTGCATTTTTCATCGACAAACAAGGTCTACCACAAAATTAGATTCATGGAAGCGACTTAATCAGTTGTTTCCATAAATTTTAAGATATAAACTACGCAGATCTTTAATAAAGGGGTATGTGTGTTGGTTCGATATTTCACGCATTGAAATCCATATCCACACCCCACTGAAACCCACCCACACCCACATCCATACCCTTCTTATGGATGAGAATCTTTGTCAGCTGTTGACACTCAATATGACAATGATATAGAATACATAATTCTGAAAAATAAAACTAGCTTCAGATTGATGATCAGATAAAAATCTGAACATAAGTTCAAAGTTGCGCATTACTTGTGAAAATGGTGGGAGCTAAAGTTTGACAGAAAGACTTGGGGGCAGCAACAAAAATATAACAAGAAATGAGTTAACTTTCAGAAGAGACTGATTATCTATATACTGAACAATTTTTCGCTAATAAAGAATCGAATTTCTGCGTATTGAACACGATTTTAAATATTCATTTGTTCTATTTAAATAAATCCTTCTCAAAATAATAACAAATTCTTCAATATTGCACAATCAGTCATTTCAGATGACCATGTTTATCATCTCGTTTTTTTTTTGTTGATCTTGATAAAACACAAGAACAAAGAAATATGATTAACAAGCAACGTGATACCACTGTTCTTATCTAAAACATGTGAGTAAGTGAAGAAAATGTTTTTATATGAATGTTAAGCATGATCATTCTTACAGTTGGTATCAAATGAAATCTTTAATTATTTTATTTGTTCTTTTTATAAGTGGACATTGGTTCCCAACATTGAATAGTGAATTGAATGAACCTTGGTCTTATTCAAGCGTGTTTTTAATAAAAACTATTTTTCAAATGAAGAAGAAATAAATCGGTTTGTTTAAATTTTAATTTAAAGAAAATAATTCATTGTATAAAATAGTCGTCAAATATGGGAAGACAATGTGGCAATGATTCATAAACATAATCTTGAATTTGATCTTGGTCTTCATAGTTATATACTTGAAATGAATCAATTTGGTGATATGGTAAATACACAGAAAAAAAGTCAAAATCTTTTTTTGTTTTTTGTTCAAAGACAAATGAAGAATTTCGAAAACAAATGAATGGATTTAAAATGATTTCAGACAATGAAACAAATCAAATCCGGTATCAAACATTTTCAACACTATCAAATATTGTTTTACCAGATAGTGTTGGTAAGAATTAGTCACTTTTGTTTATTTTGTTTGGTGTATATTATTCTAAAATAGATTGGCGTCCAAAGGGTTATGTAACACCTGTAAAAGATCAAGGTCAATGTGGTTCATGCTGGGCTTTCTCAACAACTGGTGCACTTGAAGGGCAACATTTTGCGAAAACATTACAACTTGTTTCACTCTCTGAACAAAATTTAGTTGATTGTTCACTGCTGAATTTTGGATGTAATGGTGGTAATCAGGATCTTGCCTTTGATTATATCAAAACCCATCATGGAGTTGATACTGAATGGACTTATCCATATATGGCTCAACGTCAATTTTGTCAGTTTGATCGAAAAAATATTGGTGCTAATCTTACTGTAAATATTTTTATCTTTAAGATAAGAATAAACGATTATTTTGTTTTTTATTTATTTTAGGGCTATGTTCGAATAGAAAAGCACAGTGAAACAGATCTCCAAGCAGCAATTGCTACAGTTGGTCCAATAGCAGTCTCTATCGATGCTTCACAAAGTTCATTTCAATTTTATTCGAGTGGAGTCTATGATGAACCTAATTGCTCAGCAAAAAGGCTCGATCATGCCGTTTTAGCTGTTGGATATGGAACATTGAATTCCAAAGATTATTATATTGTTAAAAATTCATGGGGTGTTAATTGGGGAAGTCAAGGTTACATACTCATGAGTCGAAACAAACAAAATCAATGTGGAATTGCTACGTCAGCTCTTTATCCACTGGTTTAAAGTGACTTTCTTCTTTTTTATTTTTGAAATAAAATATTCACATTGAACTTATCTTTGTTCTTTTTAATTTTAATGATCAATATCAGGGTTTCCGGAAAGTTCGTACAACTGTATTATTAATTGCATGTATAAAACGTTTAGTTCATGTTATTGTGCAAAGCGTGAATTTTCAACAGGACATAGATCTTTTTTTTCGACTGATTACATCATTTTGTGGGAGGAATTAGTTTTCACGATCATGCCTATCAATAAGAATTAGTTAGTTGAGCAGTCAAAAGCAGATAACGAAATAAATGGTACCAAACTGCAACAAAATGCATTTCTAAATTTTATTTAAAAATCATTGATGATTTCATTTCAATATTACATAAGTGTCACTCGATATCATCATAGAATGAATAACAGAAGCAAAAAGTGGCACGTATCACTATGGAAAGAGAAAAATGTCCAAAGCGAAAGAATAAATATTTTCGAAAATATCTATCCTTCCCTTCTGTACATTTTTTTTTGTATATGTGGAACTTTTTACTTATGTTATTCGTTCTTTTGGTTATAACGAGTGATACTTATTGAATCTCTACATGAAATTATGAGCGATTTCAAATAAAATACAGAACCATATTTCCTTCCCATTTCGTATTATTTATTTCGTATCTATTCGTGTTTCACACATGTCAAACATTGAATATCGGACGATCATAAAGTTTTTTTCTCTAAAAGAACTGAATGCCAGTGAAATCACTGAGGAATTGAAAGAGGTTTATAACGAATTGGTTCCAGCATACAGCACCATTGCGAAATGGTTGGCTGAATTTAAGGATGATTCAACACGCGACTTTGAAGATGCACCACGAAGTGGTCATCCATCGACGGCAACCACGGATGAAAATATAAAAGCCGTGGAACATGTCGTAATGCGTAATCGACAAATTTTCATTCGTCGCGTAGCTGATGAGTCGAACATCCCACAACCTTTTGTTCACACAATAATGAGCAATTACTTAGAATTCTTGACTCCGCTTCAACGCGCTAACCGAGTGGAGGGTTCTATCAGGAGCCACTGCAGACATGTGAATCGAATTCGACGAAATTACTCAATCGTATCATCATCGAGGATGAAACATGGGCGCATCACTATAATCTGCTCAGCAACCAGGAAGCCAGGGTCTAAAAGAAATCAAGAGAGGACGGTGTCGGTGTGGGTGTGCAGTTCTTATGTGCATCTTCACCCACACCCGCACCCTACTTGGGTATTGTCTATGTTGGCAAGTACTTAAGTTTAAGAATGTGGATGTGGGTGTGATTTGGGATCTGAAACTAAGTCTTCTCTTAATAGGCATACACACCTTTTACAACCTTCTGCACAGCATGATAATATATAGCCATTAAATCAACATTATTGATCCTCATATTTTAAGCCTCCACGAAATTCATTCAGCCAAGAGCTGAAAGTTTTCACGGAAGATTCTATGAAGTGTAATTCCTAAAACTAAGTAACCCTATTGAATACCTCCTTTTTTATGTCAATACTGATTTTATACAAGTGATGATTGTGGGTGTGGGTGTGTGGGTGTGGGTGGTGGGTGTGGGTGTGGGTGTGTGTGGGGTGTGGGTGTGGGTGCGGGTGTGGGTGGGTGTTGGTGTGTGTGTGGGTGTGTGGGTATGGGTGTGGGTGTGGATGTGGGTGTGAGTGTGTGGGTATGGGTGTGGGTGTGTGGGTATGTGGGTGTGGATGTGGGTGTGGATGGGTGTGGGTGTGGCTGGGTGTGGGTGTGGGTGTTGGTATTCTCTGCATCCACACCCACACACCCACGCCCACACACCCACACCGCTCACCCACACCCACACACCCACGCCCACACACCCACACCGCTCACCCACACCCACACACCCACGCCCACACACCCACACCGCTCACCCACACCCACACACCCATACCCACACCCCTGAGAAAGTTTTCATGTGATCTGGCAGGATAATGACTCTTACATATTATTAATAAGAGAATCTTTAGTAATTAAACTCAATGAAATGCCACTTAATATCACTACACACTTCGTCCCAAGGATTGTATTTTCGGAAGGTTTATCTCGCAACTTGGCATTCCATCAAAATAGTTCAAATTGAAATTTGATCTGACAGACATACAGAAAATACATCCATTCAAAAACAGAAAAAACCATAACTCAACATTTCACAGAAAAGGAAGATATGAACGAGAACAAGTTTAATTGTAAAGAACGTGCATATGACCAAAAAAATCAGCACAGAAAAGGAAAAAAAATGAAAGAGCAACCTCATCAAGAAACACAACAAAAGCAACACGTAAACCTATACTCATTTGATAAATAATGCCTCTCAACCATCATGAACTAATAGACTGACAAACGAAAAACTGCACCATATTTTACCTATTTGAGCATAAAATAGGATTCAATACCTGATAAGCGAAAAACAATTCATGAAACATAAACAGACAGCTCAACGAATACATTGAACAGAGAAAAACAGAAAAGAAAACGCGATGTGCAACTATTTTCTTATGAAACAATCATTACATTTACCGATGTCAAATTGTTTCTCAAGAATCTTGATATAAAACATATAAAAAAGAAAACAAGACGATAAACAAATACAGACAAAAACACAAAACACACATGGTTGAAAATGGTCGTTTGGATGATCGGAACGTCGAATTTCAATATAAAATCGAAAAATGAAACTATTACCACTACATTGAAATTTTATTACATGATGCGCCATAGAAATTCAATGAAAATATTTCCTGAAACAAGTCAAAAAGTTAGTCAAATGAAAATATTTTGACTAAAAGATTAATATTAAAAATAAATAATATTTTGTCAATTATCTTGTTGAATATTTTGATAAGTTATATCAAATATTGGTTCATGAATAAGCCCACATCTATGATAATGTGTCTTCGTCGATATATATGGTATAAGTTGTTCATACTTATCTATCAATTCTTTCATTGCTTTTTTTCTTTGTTCTAATATATATTCATCATGTTCCTTTTTCTGTGCCCATTCATAGGTTATACGAAGATAATTTATTGAAGCTTATTGATGATTTTCTTTTGCTATTTTCTTTCTATAAAAATCATTATGAAGTGCAGATAACATTAAAGTCTCTTGTTCTGTTGGTGGTATATAATTGTGATCTGGTTTTTCACCATTTAATCGTTTTGGTAAATTCGATGAATCAATAAATTGAGTTAAATCATCAACATTGTTGATGAAATGAATTTTACTTTCGACAAGTGGATCTAACCATCGTTTAATAATACGCCAACAGCTAGTAAATAACCAAGGAGCATTTAAAACAAGTCCAAGACCAAGTGATTCAGGATAATAATTTTGAAAAAGATTTACAAGAAAAGATGTATGTTGATAATCCATATTTTTCAAAGAAAATCCAGTCATATCAAAAATAATTGTTACAGATTCAATGGGATCGTGTAATAATTTTTTTCTATTTCCATAGATAGTACAGATAATTTTTCTGTTGATTCTAATGGAAATTGCCCTTTTATATGATCTTTAACAGAAATATAAACTATTGGACGACCCACTTTATCATATCCTATATATGATGTTTTACCAGTTAGAAGTTCTTCATGATAAATTTCATGTTCTCCATCAGCAACAAGTCGAGTAACACCATATTGATATCTCCATTTTAGTGTCTGAATGAATTGATCTAAAGCTAGATTAACATTCCATTTTCTAGCCCGAAGTCGTCGTAATAAAATAACATCCGGATTATCATTAGCAAACATGTAAAATAATTCTTTTCCATCTGTTGAATCAAAAATACTTTCTAATGATATTTTATTTTCACTAAGTATTTTATTAATAATAGATATCCAAAAATCTTTAAGATTTTCTTCTTGATCTTTACTAAGATTATCTAAATAAAATAATAAAATATTTATTGAATTAAATTTACAATGTAATGAATAAAATAAATTACGTATATGTCCAGGGTGGTTGGCACTCATTTTTATATATTTGACATATAATCTTAAAATAAATAATATTTTGATTTATTCAAATTGAATTATATATTTAATTAGATTTATTGTTCAACTATTCTATACTATTTAATTGTCGAGATTAAATTAAGAAAAAAAATACATTGCCGTATTATAAATACCGTTATTTCTAATAAATAGACATAAATGAAAGTATATTTATACTCCATACCTATATACACGTGATTTACATTAGTAATCGATATGGAACAAGGTTATATCTTTGAAAAGAAAAAAAGTGCTTGCATTTTTTTTTTGTTCTTATATTATAAATATACGTCAACGATAAATAAACAATAGATTTTTTGTATACTCATATATATTATTATGTAGATTCTTATTTCAATACATTAATTTGAATAATAAAAAATGTTAGTTAGTATTTTAAGAAAAATCAATGAAGATAAATAAGATATTTTAAATATAAACGGAAGTGTCCAATCTGATCGAATTTTTCCAACGTTTTTCTATCGTAGTGCTTCAACAATATATCAGAATAACATGATTGTTTTTTACCAAATAGAGTATTTATGTAGTGATGACACTTTATTATTGTTTTGGTTATGTATTACGCTCGATCATTGGAAAGTTTGTGAATAGGAATTATCAGCCTCTTTCTTCTCCTTCCAAGAAAAAAATTGTGAAGTATAACGAGAGAAGATATTCAACAGTCAGACGCCATTTGATCCCGTCTTTTGGCTGTGAGTGATACTCACTAAGTGTCATTCATTGAAACTAGTGTAAAACTCTAAAACAGTGCGTGTCCACACGTCACTCAATCAATGTTGTCTTCTTGTACCGTGGTAGTTTCTTACTCTTAACCCAGTTATTCATGGAAAATTCAATTAAGAGATTTTCATTTGAAAATTCACCCATAAAAATAGCTCGGTTGCATGGTGGGCCTTGCTACTAATCGGCATTTGTTACCCACTTGATATCTGAAAAAGAATGCACTCATTAGAGCTGAAAATTTCAGGATATGTGTGCATGTGAATGTGTATGCTGATGTAGTGAATGTAAGATACATATCCACATCGTGCGTTGCCGTACTCACACGATCAGAGTACTTGAAGTGATATGAGCACTGACATACTATGGTTTATTTAGCAGTAGCTATACAACTTGATTGAATGATCTTTATTGTATGATGTAACAGTATACATAATGCCATCTATTTGACTATTTTTCTCGTGATTGCTGTTGAATTTTAAGAATATGCAATGAAAAGGAGTAGACTTTTCATGATGGACGTACTCTTCAACTGAGCTACGCCAACAGCCACACCCTTTACAAAAAAGAAAGGTGTAAACTTCTAATTGAATTATAGTTTCATGTTCAGTTGATTGTGTAGCCAATGCTCTAAGTATCAAAACATTTGGTAACTTAATTGACTGTGACGATTGCTCAAGCGAAAAAAATCATTTTTGAACAATGAACTGTTAAAAGTTATTTCAATATGGACAAAAGCACGCGTATAAATATATGCTTGGATGTATGAAGCCAACAATACAATTTGCTCCCAATAGTCCTACACCTAAGTAATGACGATAAACTTACTAATGTTGTTTATTTTTTTTCCGGAGCGAGAAAAATGTACCTTTGCAGATTCTTGTACAGCTTCGTGGTGGATCTCGGATTGATAAAATTTGTTCTTTGGCATCGTAGTGTCTACCGATATGCATTCGTTTTATGTTTGAAAAATATTGTTTCGTATGATTTGAATCTTTCGACATACATGACATTGCTCATTTTGTTTGATGATAAGAAATAATTTTCAAATTTATTCAATGTCCGAAAATATTGTTTCACTCTTCGGATTTTTCTATCTTAAGTTATATTCCATAAGACTTGTAGAATATGTATTGTGATTTTCTTCATGTATGAAATATGAGATAAAAGACTGAGAGAAGAAGAAAAAAGTTTAAATTAGAAAGCTTCTAGTCTTACAGAAAGTAGTACAACTGTCGTTGTTTAATATAATTTATGGTTATATCGACAAAAGTGACCTTTCGAAGTCGATGCTTCATACTTTTCTGTTCTATATAACTACTAAATCTATATGATGTAATCGTTTTTTGATAGATTTGTCGAAACATAAAGATATTGTACTATCGAATACCCAATATATAGGTAACAGTCGTTATAAGAACACTTTCTTTTGTCTGTAGGTAGTGAAACCGAAAAATTGTCATTCGATCAGTTTTGCATAAATTCGTGCTCTACCTTAGCAGTCCAAGATGAGCATTTAACGCGTTACAACGGCCACTATTTTTTTTCCAGTCAACGCGTTTAAACTTTGAAGAAGTATCCGACTTTTTACTTTTTAACAGTCGATATAATTTTGACTTTAATGTCGTTAAAATGAGTTGAAACACAACCGTTTAAACACTTTAACAAAGTCAGGGTGTGGGTGCGAGTGGGTGGACGTGGCTTGTATCGATAGTGACACTCACGCCCATGCTCCACTCTGGCACCCACATCCACACCCTATATTAATATTGCTTCGAGAAGTTTATTGTCCTATCCGTGCATGTATCTTAAATTGTTCATCACTTAAAATTGTTATTAGGCTTAGTTACGAAATCAAAGAATGGTCATGCAAAGCAAAAAGCAAATGCGACATATATTATTGTTACTTTTTCAACATGTAAGTTGTACGACGAAAGAGAAACAAAAGCCGACGAACTGATTTTTTTCTGATGAGAAAAATATGACTATATTTAATACACAACGTATACTGGTTGAAATATACAATTAACCAACTGTACTCGTTTATCCAAAAAGCGGAGAATGATAACACTATTGATATACAATTGAAAGCAATATATCGATGAATTATTTAGTGGATATTATTGAGATTGTTTAGAAAAGAAATGGCATAGAAATTAATCCTAAAAATAGAATTAATCTCCTTGTAAGTGCCAAGAACAACGACATCATGATTAAAATTTTCATTCTTTAGAGATTGTGCTCGTTATTTCCTATTTCTGTTAATGAAAATTCGCTATTGATTGTTTAATTAATTTTGAAAAGGCATAAGCACTAATTTTAACATAACATAAAAGAAAGTATAAAAATATTTTATTTCAATAAATGTTATTTTCATTGTGCAAAATAATTAATAACTTTATATGTAAGTTAGTATATTCTTTTTAACTAATTAAAGAAGGAAAATTATATTTTCAACTCAAAATTCAATTTCTATTGAAAATAATCAATCGAAATATTCGACAAATCGTACGTTTATGAGAGATAAAATTGAACCATTTTATTACAATTAAAATCAATGCATTGTATATTTTTTTTGAAATTGAGAAATTTCTATTTCTTTTTTGATGAGACACTTTGCGTGTGCATGCATACGTCAACACACATATGTGATATGCGAAAGGAGAAAAAAATCATTTTACGGCGAAAAAAGCCAACTAAACAGAAGAAAAAGACATAACAAAAAGGTAATTTTGGTAGTGATGAAAAAAAAAGATTTTTTCCCATGCGTTTTTGTATTGAATAATTTCGTGTCGTTATTTGCTTAAAGGTGAACAACGTGAAAAAGCTTGCTTTTTCATATGAAATGTTTTGTACGTTGTTCTTTTATCGACATGCTTACGAAGCATTGTCACATACAAGTTCGGAATTTTTATATTATATGAGATTGCCATCTTTATTTTTAGCTTGATAGAACAACAGAAGCAATTTAACTGTTCAAACATATAATGTAAGTAAAAAGCAAAATATATACTACCAATATAACAGAAAAAAATGAGAATATAAGAGCTACGATTTAATATGAAAATGTTCATTGCTTTTTTGTATCCATTTGGTTTTTTTACACAGGACGAACAGCACTACTGAATCTGATATCATCTAAAAAATAAGAAAAAAAATTTTATTTTTTAATACATGAATATTCTTTGTTGTTTAATAGAGTTCTCACGAAAGTACTAAGGAATTCAAATTAGAAACCTGAGGAACAAACTTGAATTCGGCCCAATCCCATTTGTCCCGCAACTCTCTAGTCCAAATATCCTTCGAAATATAAATTTCTAATACTTCTTTCTACGTATTCGAAACAGATATATCCATAGTGGCGATGGTAACGGATTTTTGGTCGCCATGAACAGTTCTGATTTGAAACGCCATCGTATAATACAATTATAGTCTCAACCTTTACCTCACTCCAAATTTCTATACCGAAAATAGTTATGTCGACCTACTGCTATGAACAATAAAAGTGATGAATAATCTTATAACGGTTTACTGAAACTATGCTAGCAGATGTACTATACCAAACGATAGAAAATACGTACTGAGATATTAGGAATATTGTATGTCATCAATTTAATATATTAAGAAAAACGAAGAAAGATGATAGATATTCAGTTTATGACATTCAACATTGGGAAATATATCTGCTGCTATTACTCAAAATCAAAGAATCCCAAATTAGATCTTCAGTATATTTTATCTAAGTTTTAATTCTCTATAAAATAATAAAAAAGATAAGGAAGAAAAAGTTAATAATGGATATGAAGAGTACTATTTATTGTTGTAGGTAAGGTAAACAGTCTTAAATATATTGTGGACATTTTTCAAAGAATTATAATAATTTTAACTCATACGGATGAAGAATCTATTTTGGATCGAATGACATAAGCAATTCTCGAGAACAAAAAAGAAATAAAACTTTCGATCATCTTCCTACATACATAAGTGACCTAGGCAAATTTCAATAAATATCTTTTATTGTGTAATCATTATTTAATGAAGCAGCGAAATAAAATTTACAATAATTATCACAAGCATATAACGGAAATGGATTATTTAGTGTGATTTAGTGGTATAGAAAAGACACTTCGGTGCCAGAATATGGTTGTGATAAGCATTCTTACTTCTATTTGTCTACATGATGAAATGTTCATTAAATGAAAAAAAAAGTTCTTGAAACTTCAGTACTCCTCCTTAGGGTTCTAGGAAGTCGAATTTTTTTTTCAAAAACTCGGTTATGTCATTCAATCCAAGGTAAAGTCCTCATTTGTGCAAATTAGAGATTTTCATAAACAAAACTCTTTGAAAAATGTCTAAGATATCATTCGTTGAGACTTTTTACTTCATTTCCACAATAAATGATACATTTGAAATGCATTTGGAAACTTTTTTTTGCCACTTATACAATATAGATTCCAAGTTTTATTTTGTTTCTTATAATTTCGAGAAACGACAATAGATGTACTTCTAAAAGTAGAACATCATAAACTGATGATCTTTTATTTTTTCACCTAAATTTTTTCTACCGTTTGGTATGCTTCATGGAAAAATAATGTTTGACTTTGTTGTTTTTTTACTAAATTTTAGTAAGATGATTCATGGTCGTTCTGTTTATAGTCAATAGATGGTGCTAGAGTGTTGCCTATGACTAACTTTATTATACCAACGCTGAAAAATGACTGTTAATACTTTAAGAATGCGTACTTTGAAATGCATAGAAAAACAAAATTTTAATGAATGCTTCAAATATTTGAATCCTGCTTCATTCTCTCGTGCTTAATTAATAACCTATTAAATCTAACTAATTGCAGGTTTATAGATAGCCAAATAGAGTATTGACTCATAAACAATTAATTAGTTAATTTTTAATATGTTATTTATCGGTAATTAAGTAAGAAGAAGATGAAGACATGACAATTTTATCATGTTTCACATTTTCATCATACTCGAATCGTATGAAGAGTTTTTCTTCATCGAGATACAGTCGACGAATACTGAGAGTATACTTATAGAATTTTTGTTTTTTTATTACTATACTTTTTTATGTATTAATCTAATATATATATAGAAAGAAAGTCTGGAACATCCTGCATAATCACAAGAATCTTTGAGATGCTTCCTACATGATAAACAATGAAAACGCCACGTAATTTGTTCATTATGAGTAAAAGAAAAATGTTCAGAACAAACAAAAAGAAATTTGATCATACAGTGTTTTGTGTTGTATATTTTAGAAAAGATTTCAAGATTTTATCATTTACCTAAACCGAGATATCTGCGAAATAAAAGAAATATTACAGCATTATGAACATTCGATATTGCAATCCAAAAAATCTCATTTGTTCTTTTAATACATGTTTTTTATTTTAAAATGCCCGTAATGATGTTGAACATTAATAACTGTAACGTGTTCCAAACTTTCTTCCTATATATAATAGATTGATAGATAAAAACGTGTATATTAGTAAGAGTATATTTTTAATTTTTTGATGGCGGTGCTCGTATTTTTGACCTAGTTCTAATATAAGTTAGACAGATCTATAACGATCATGAAATCGATGATGTTATATAAAATTAAATTCTGTTTAATTCTATAAAAATCAAATTTTCAAATTTTCAATTTTTATTTTTCATTATCCATTATTTTTGCATTTTAGGAAAATTTCTTTTCAATTAATTAATCGGTTCTACACCATCGATAAAAACCATCGGTAGCAACTTTTCCTTGTTTTTTTATTATTCGAAATCTACTATCAAATTGTGTCATGGTGAAATAACGATAACCCAGTCTATGTAAGTCTGACTAGTAATCATGTCTAAATACTTGACTGACACAGAAAGTTTAAAGTACAGTCAAGTATTTGTGATTTATTTTTTGAATAAAATTTAGACAATCCCAAAATATAGAATTTTCGTTGATGCTTCCTTAAAGATTTTCAGATGATGAATTTTAAAAAAATTATTATCTAAGTTGATTCTTTTCTTTCTAATTTAAAAACTCTTTTTTTTTTAAAGTTGTATTTTTATTTTTAGGAAATATCTTTCTACCTATACGTAATAATCGTTGACCACCACCAGCAGCTTGTTGAATATTGTTTACTTGTAATGGTGGATTATGCGCTATAATATATGAGTAAAATTTGATTCAAATTAAAATAAATTCTTTATAATTGCAACTTACGTATAACAGCAGCGCTGAATATTATGCTTTGGAATCCTCCAGAAACATTATTATGATTATTGTTTTGCATATGGTGCGCTTGTACACAAGACATGATTAATCAAATAACTACATATAAAATGGAACATCAAAATGTTCATGAAAATTTATAAAAAAAAATCATATAAAAGTACTTTAATACATATCCGAAAATATTATAATTAGATAAACGTTGATTTATTGTTATGGAAAAAACATCTTCGTAAATTATTATTTTACATGCACTACAAGTAAGCTGATAGAATTTTGATTTGATATAAATTTTCTCTTTTTAATTTAAAAATATTCAATGTGAACGAAAAAAATTTACTTTCTATTTTTAACATTGATTTACTTAAGAGAATCGATCTTTTTTAATTGTTTTCACTTTATAGCCTTTTAGGAATTACTATTGTTCAATATTAAAGTGTATTTTATTTCATCGATAAAATATCTTCGAAAACTATTGAAATGAAAGATTTAATTATTTAATGGAATAATTTTCAAATTTTGATCACATCATATTTAACTTTCATACGCATAAATTTGTATATATCATAGTAGTACAGGTTATTACAAAGAGCATGTTGAATTTGAATAGATAATTGATTTCAATTAAAAAGAAAACAGAATACATTCGATCTGAATTTACTTTATATATATCTTGCGTATTTTTTTGGAAAGATTATTGTAATAAATTATGAAAACAATTCTTTTACTGATGGATAAAATTAATCATTTCAATCATGTACACTATTATTTTTATAGAATAAATCATATATATAAACAATTATGAATTTAAAATGGAAACATTTTAAATAAAAATAAAATGTTATACCTCTAGAAAGATTACTCAAAATATGAATTGAAGTTTGGCAATTGTAATAATTTGATGATATTATCGTCGAATAGGGAAATATCTTGATGTTTGTAAAATCAAATATTTATCGGAAGATCATTAAAAATAATATTTTCAATTAACTTCGGTAAGGAATTTTTCAGAAGAGTTTTTCTTAACCATATACGTGTATTCATATCGATGATTTATACTTACTAAACAATGTTGTACTAGATATATAAATTGATGTTTTTCAATGATCAGAGATAAAACAAGTACAATGTATCTTGTAAAATGGAAGAAAAAGCTTTCTAGCATGAGTTTTCTATTGGTCAGGTTCCATATAACTATAACACTACGATGATAATCATATCTCATCAATGAAAAATTTTGAAAGACTACATAGTATTTGAATTAATTGCTGCTAACTTGTACAAATATTCTCTAATTTTAACTAAATCGTATTATTAATACTATCCGTCGTCTACGACATACGAAAATAATAATTAATTGAAACAATTATATAACCCAATCATCATCATGTTACCATCAAGCTATAACATAGAACAAGTAATGCTTATGAGGATATCGAATTAATCCATAACGAAGATATATTTTATCGTCATTCGAATGCTACCTCATTCCACAATAAGAACTAGATTCATAGTTATTCTCTCCGATAACATAAAACAAGAATGGATAGTGTATATAGATGTCAGTTAAGAAATCGACATATTATGAACTTAGAAGACATAAATTGATATTTCAGAAAAGCAGTTACCAGATTACGTAAAAGTTGAATACACGTTTCTTATTCATTCAAAAAAATCGTATAGTCACCAATTCAAATGAATACAACAATCATAAACATATATGATAGAAAAATGAAGCAAATCCTTGTATGATCTGTTCAGTTCTCATTTACAGACGAAGTTTTGGTTTTCTATATAACTCTATACTGCATCTATCATGTCAAAATGGAACAGATCACTCATCTTCGAATCATAGATTTCATTTCATCTTATACAGACCAGAAATCAAAATACTTCTATCTGAAATAATGTGAATATTGAAAGCGTCTACAACAATTCAATTAACATATAGCATGCGTCTCTGCCATCCAAAATTTTGATAAAACATCAACCAGGGCTACTTGAGAATAGAGGATAAGCATAATGAACAGCATATATATGATGTCAATACATATCAAACATTAAAAGATATAATGCATTAAGGGCAACAGTCGAATATGATAGTAATCACATTTAAATATATAACAACAATCGTGAAATAACGGCTGATAGTGGAGTCTGTTCTAAAATATCTTACGTATTAGTGATGAAGCAGCTTGCTAAAAGTAATCGACTGTAGCCCGAAGGTTCTTCGCCATATCCATCTTATCTATCGACTTCGATCTTCTTCATATATTTTCGTTATATCCACCCATACCTACATCCGTTACAACGCGGTCATGGTTTTTGTTTTGATCACGATCCCGCAGATCTCTAGGAAGGACGAATACTTGATACAGATAGACGGACTATTCATACTCACACCATTTTGACATTAAGCATATAACTCTAAGGGTGTGGGGTTCATGGGCGTTGGTGGGTGTGGGGTGTGCCGGTGTGGATGAGGTTGTTGGATGTGGCTGTGGGTGTGGTGGATGTGGATACGGATGTGTGTGAGGGTGTCGCTGTGAGTGTAGGATGTGTGTCTTCTCCTCATCATCCCCATTCATATCCACACCCACACACCCATCGAAACCCACACTTACACGCACCGACACCGAGTCCCACATCCACATCCTACACTCACAGCAATACCATCACACACACCCTATACTGAAAGCTATTGAAAAAAGAAAAACCTCTATTGAATATATCATTTCGCATTGTTCATCACTATGGTAAATTTTATTAGAATTTAAGACGGAAAAAGACTAAACAACGTCTTGAAATCGAAGGTATGAAAATATTACGTTAGCATCATTTCTCTATAATTTTTATTGAAGTTCAAATGCATGCATACGAGGCTACTTGAATTTTTACCCATCTGTATATATATTTAGATACTGATACCTATTGGAATCAACTGGGAGTATGTCAAAGAAGAATCTGCTTATGATAGATGAAACATGTTATAAAAGGTAGTGATCGTTCTCCCTATAGTTTAGCACCACAAAATAAAGATGCATTAGTATCAAGCTATACCAAACGATATGATAATATGGCTGCATTACCAATTGATATTCTTCCACCTAAAAAGAAAGCACAATTGTTTATACCTGGATATACAAAAGAATTCATAAATTTGAATCGTGATGGTACAGTAGTAGGTATAGATAAAGTTTTGACTTAAAGGATATGGGTCGTGTGCTCACCCACACCCTCTCATAGAACAATGCCTCTGACAATAGAAATAGCAAATTCATAGAAACTAAACAAAAACAAAACTAACGAATTTAATGTTTGGTGAGAGTTGAAAAAATTTCAAAGTTTAACAGCAGAAATTAAAGCTAAACTTAGTAGTACCACGTTAGTTTTGATCCTTTTTTTTATTCACAGTTCATCACCGACTTTATGTTTTACGAAAGCAGATATAAACAAAGTTTTTGGATTCAATCTAGCTCTTTGTTGACGACCCTAAAGTATATCATACCATGACGCAATAAATCAAAATTAAATAGAATTTACTCACGAGATGTGAAGCACTGGGAAAAGCTGATTTCGATGCTACCGATATAGCAGATGTACACAAAAAACGCTTTGCTAAATTCTTCAGTTTTGACATTTGATCACCAAATGCACTCCTAATTTTTTTTTATTCGGTTAGACAAGTTTGAGAATCTATTTCGGTACATGCCAAAATGCTGATGCATCAAAATTTTAATTATTATCAACGACCTTTTTTTACTTCTTTTGTTGCTAATGCTTTATACAAGAATAACTCATCAACAATTGAATTGTTATGATTTGAAATAGGGTCAACTTGACATTTTACTGATGCATCTGTTGATACAGAATCAAGAAACAAAGACAATATTGATTTGCTTTTTGGTGTATTATTTTGAGATGGTGACGATGATATTTTTGTTAAATTAAGTTGATTATCATTATTGATGTTCACATTATTTAAATTGTCATTATAATCTAATCTTTCACCAATTGTTTTATGTCTCTTTCAACATTTGTGCGTTCTTTTTGGTTCAACACTGAAATTCCCAACGCTTCAAAGTATGCTAAAACCTGATATAAACAATTTTTTAAGAAGTTCATAGAATTAAACAAACATAACATTAATTAATTTCATTGTTCAAACATATTGTTATCAACATAATTTTCCAAAAAGTTTTTTTATTTTTCCAATAGCAAGTAAAGCTGTTCCAATGGTGCCATATTTCTGACCACTCTTTATTATTGTGACTTCATAGAATGGTTTAAAAAAACTGTCAATAGATGAAATCATACGCCACTTATTACTTGTTAATTCAAGATTTTAACAGATGTTCAATCATAAATTTTGTCGAATTTCATCGACTTATGCAATCTATTGAAAGTATTGAAAGACTATTTGGAATTTTATGTATCACCTTCAATTTATCTATGTACGATGTTAAATTTGATAATTTATTGATAATTTTTATCCTAGAACGACATTTATTCATAATAGTACTAATGGATCGTTGTAAATCATTCGAAGAACCAGAATCAGTAATGGTATCAATTCCCTATAAATTACTAAATAGATAATAATCATCTTCTGTTTCTTCAGAAGACTCTGGAACTTCAGACAATAGAAAACATGGCATATATTCAAGAAAAAAAAATATTAATTAATCTACTATGTTTATGATCTTGTATAGTCACATATTCATCATCGCTTTCTAGTAAAACAAAAAAGTGTCGGTCAATGATGTTTCTATGAAACACAATGGAAGTCAAAGCAAGATTTATATAGTGCGTTTTTTTTATGTTGAAGTTAAACTCAATTTAATTTAATTTAGTCGAATTCACTCATGATTATTCTCAAGTTGTATTACTTCTCATCTTTTAATTATTCATGTTTTTCCTGGTTGATTGAATATAAACCTGACGAATCTAGAAAATGGGTGTGAGTGTGGGTATGGATGTGTTTAGGAATCGTATTTTCATTATCATCCATACCCACGCCCGATTTGTTTGTCGTTACCGACATTACTTGCTTTTTTTCACAAATGTATGCGTGTGTGAATTAATGGAGGATAATATTTGCATTAGATAAATGCCATTTTTCATTGATTCAGTTATCATCACGCATTTTTCGTTTTTTCAGTATTTTTTCTCTTTCTTTACGTTTCATTTTGTTAATATGAGAAAATGTACAATTACATTAATATAAACAAGTATATTAACCTTCAAATAGGAGACACAATTCTCAAGGCACTTTTTGTATTATTTATTATTCATTAGCATATATAGATGAATCTTGTCATAAATCTTGATTTCTAAACACATTACAATACATATCATAGAAGGGTATGGGGATGGGCTGTGCGGATTTGTGCGTGTGAGGATGTCGAACTGCTATTCATTTACTTGCCAACTAATACTCGCAACCACACCCTCTCTATATATACACTATATTTGAAGTAGATACATGCATGAGAACAACATAAAGTCTATTTAATCAGTAAGTCATGCACTCAGTACTCTTGATAACATAGTTTTTGAAATTTTTCCGTTTCTTCGTCTGAGTTACATAGTGTCGCATTTGGACATGCTATAAATTCTGTGTATGATGATTTATTAGAAGATCTTGATTGCTTAGCTATTGAATTTATTGGTGGATTAGCGGAAGAAGGCGTAGGAGACGGTCCTGTAGGAGGACTACGAAATTGGTCTCTTAGGAACCGAAAAACTAGCGTTGAGCTTGTTACGACAGCTGATGCGATGCCAAGGGTGACGACTGTACGTTGGCCACGCTCGACAGTATGATAATATAATTGGTCGTAATAGCTTAATCTTTTGAGAATATAATTTTCCAAGCGATTATAGTATAGAGCGTGAGCCTTTGTTGCCAATATCTCTTCATTTTGTGTAATTATTTCATTTTGTGTAATTTTTTCATAAAGATTTCCATGCTTTGAGTCTTTATTACAGTATTCTCGGTACCGCTGCCGATAGCTTGACAGTGGAATATAATCATCGCACTGTTGTGTCTCGTCAAGAAGTGAGATAAATGCGGTTGCATGAAACATGCTATCACTTTTATTCCCAGTTCTTGCATTTGTTAATAAAGTCCAGTAAAGGTCATAACATGTTTCTTTATTCATAATATAAATAATAATATATTGACTTGCTAGATTTATTTGTGCCGCTAAAGATTGGGACTAAAATAAAGAAAAGACACTGATATAGATGCGCCGCAATCATGAAGTTGCTTAGACAAAATGGGCCAGTTTTTAGTTTTGCTCTTTTCTAGATTTCATTTCGTTCTTCTTTTTGCTGCAAGATGCTCTGTCAAATTCTCTTGAAGTACTCTATATTTACTTGACACGGGTGATCCATTAATGCTCGAAAGACGACAAATCATTGGAGTTTTCAAAAACTTCAACGAGTGTTTGAGTGAGCGGTAAAAAACATGGATGTATAGTGCGTGGGTGCTTGAGTTTGGATATTTGTAAGAAAAAATAAAGCATCAACATCCGCACCTATACATACATCTACGCATTCACCCACGCACCAACACCTATCTACACTCGAGACATAAAGCATTACACGATATTGTTTTGAAAGCACTTTAAAGAATTAGAAGGGAAGGAATCTAGTATTCCTTGAAATTTTCAACTCAATATAACGAGTCTTTTTGCTGTAGAAACAATTACAATAAAAGCGCAATTTTTCATATGGTATTTCTAATCGGTTATTTGGTTGTGGCCAAGTAGGGAAAAAGTAATACTTTCGTACGCCGGTGTACAGCTGGAGTAGGGTTGGAGTACAGTTACAGTAAAGCGGAGTATAGCTTTAGTCTAATTGAAGCACGTCGACTACTATACTCTAGCTAAACTCTACTTGTGGTACAGGTGTGGTTAAGCTGTACTCAGGAGCATGGGAATCTTGCTTTTTCCTCTTGGTGACGTCTCAGTTAGTTTTTAAATTTGGATCTTTATATGTATCGAAGTTCAAAGATTTCGGCCCATTTAGTAAGAGTTTCTGGAATACTAGCAAAATTCCATCTATTTCTTCCGTCTTGATATTAAAGTTTCGTTCGACTGCATCTCGTGAGTCAATTATCAATCATTTTCATCGTTGGTACAAGTCATCAAGTATTACTCACTAGAACTTCTCACAATTTCGCTTATGAGAAAAGTACTTGTGCAACTATTCAATTTCATCATTTCCTCAAAGACTCTTATATCAGATTAAAAGCTTGTAATTAAAAGTCAACATTCTGACGAATCACTTTCGTTTATTCTGTTAGAAATTACTACATATCGAAGATTTTTCGTTTTTGTTGGTGATTTGATAAAAGATTTAAGAAAAAACTGTTGTCTACAAAGTAAAAGGAGCACAGTTTAAGTTATCAGAGCAGACATAGTACTTTTTATTTCATAAGTTTTCCCAAGAAGCTATGTAATGGTATTAGTTTTTTTTATTCATCTTAGAAGCACTGAAAGAAACTACAACAATGCATACACAATCTCTTTGTATAGAATCTAGAAATGAAATATAGGTATATATATCCTCGATATAAGAACCCATATGCACACACTCACACTCATATCCTATTTAGGCATAATGCACTTCGTCATTATTCTACAAATATATTCGTCGTCCTTGAATAAATAAAAGAGTGGATGATGAGAGTCAGTTGATTTGAAAAGAGACAATTTTCCAGCCTAGTCTGGATAGAAGAGAACAACCATCGAGATGCTGAAAGAAATATACTGTAGAACTAAAACAAACAAAACTAAAATGAATTCTCTTCTTTTACTCTCCTCGATAAATACTTCTGTAGCTATCAGTGAAGAAAAATCACAAGCAACAAAAACAAGCTAACTAATTCAATATCACTTTTCACATGAAATGCTGATCAAACGCGTGATCCATCTAAATAGAGCAATGAAGTTAGGTGAATCCTTTACTTCCTCTAATCAGATCCAGAGAAATTGACCCTAAAATTCAGTACGCAAAAAAAAACAACTTCTTCGATATATTTGAAAATAGTACTAGACAATTCTTAGAATAAAAAAATGATATAAGTCCCATTAAACTTATGTATCTCATTCTAAATTCCTTACCAAACAAACAGAACTAAGAGAGTAATTGAATAAAAAACACAAGATTAACGTATTAATCAAAGTTTCACTAAAACATGCA